GGGAACTCTGATATGAAAGGGGGGACACAGATGTGAAAAGTGGGACTCTGATGTGATGGGGGAACTTTGATATGAAAGGGGGGACACAGATGTGAAAGGGGGGACTCTGTTTTGAAGGAGAACTCTGTTATAAAAGGGGGACACATGTGAAAGGGGAACTCTGATATGAAAGGGGGGACACAGATGTGAAAGGGGAACTCTGATATGAAAGGGGGGACACAGATGTGAAAGGTGGGACTCTGATGTGAAGAGGGAACTCTGATGTGAAAGGGGGGACACAGATGTTAAAGGTGGGGCTCTGATGTGAAGCGGGAACTCTGATATGAAAGGGGGCACAGATGTGACAAGGGGCTCTGATGTTAAGGGGGAACACTGATATGAAAGGGGGGACACAGATGTGAAAGGGAGGACTCTGATGCGAATAGGGAACTCTGATGTGAAAAGGGGGATGCAGATGTTAAAGGTGGGGCTCTGATGTGAAGCGGGAACTCTGATATGAAAGGGGGCACAGATGTGACAAGGGGCTCTGATGTTAAGGGGGAACACTGATATGAAAGGGGGGACACAGATGTGAAAGGTGGGACTCTGATATAAAGCGGGAACTCTGATATGAAAGGGGGCACAGATGTGACAAGGGGCTCTGATGTTAAGGGGGAACACTGATATGAAAGGGGGGACACAGATGTGAAAGGGGGGACACAGATGTGAATAGGGAACTCTGATGTGAAAAGGGGGACTCAGATGTTAAAGGTGGGGCTCTGAAGTGAAGAGGGAACTCTGATGTGAAATGGGGACTCAGATGTGAAAGGGGGGACTCTGATGTGAAGAGGGAACTCTGATGTGAAAGGGGGGACACAGGTGTGAAAGGTGGGGCTCTGATATAAAGTGGGAACTCTGATGTGAAAGGGGGGACTCTGATGTGAAGCGGGTACTCTGATGTGAAATGGGGACTCAGATGTGAAAAGTGGGACTCTGATGTGATGCGGGAACTCTGATATGAAAGGGGGGACACAGGTGTGAAAGGGGGGACTCTGATGTGAAGGGGGAACTCTGATGTGAAAGGGGAGCACTCGGAT